GTAATACAGGAAACGGAGGAGCGAGCACGCCCCCATTCACATCGATGGGGCTGTAGTGGAGTGGGTCGAGAGCTTTAAGTTTCTCTGTGTCCACGTCACTAAGGAATTAACATGGTCCAGACACACCCACACAGTTGTGAAGAGGGCACGACAGCACCTCTTTCCCCTCAGAAGGCTGAAGATTTGGCACGGGCCCTCAGATCCTCAAAAAGTTAAACAGCTGCACCATTGACTGGCTGCATCACCGCTTGGTACGGCAACTGCAAGGCACCTGACCTCAAGGCGCTATAGAGAGTGGTGAGTACGGCCCGGTGCATCACTGGGGCCGAGCTCCCTGCCATCACTGGGGCCGAGCTCCCTGCCATCCAGGACCTCTATACCAGAAGGTGTCAGAGGAAGGCCCAAAACATTTTCAAAGACTCCAGCCCCCCAGGCCATAGATTGTTCTTTCTGCTACCGCACGACAAGCAGTACCAGTGCACAAAGTCTGGAACCAACACGACCCTGAACAGCGTATACCCCCAAGCCATGACAGCTAAATCAAATGGCTACCCAGACTATATGCATTTACCCTTTTTGCACTTACTCTCCTGCACTGACTCTACCCACACACTCAAACATATTTACACTGACTACCCAACACCCATACAACATATGCCCACACATAACACGAGCACACATGCATACTGACGCCACACACACTTTCACACTCACCACATACGCTGCTGCTACTGTCTATTATCTATCCTGTTGCCTAGTCACTTTACCCCTACCTATATGTACATACAGTGTGGAGAACAAGTATTTGATACACTGCCGATTTTGCAGGTTTTCCTACTTACAAAGCATGTAGAGGTCTGTAATTTTTATCATAGGTACACTACCAAAAATCCAGAAAATCACATTGTATGATTTTTAAGTAATTCATTTGCATTTTATTGCATGACATAAGTATTTGATACATCAGAAAAGCAGAACTTAATATTTGGTACAGAAACCTTTGTTTGCAATTACAGAGATCATATGTTTCCTGTAGGTCTTGACCAGGTTTGCACACACTGCAGCAGGGATTTTGGCCAACTCCTCCATACAGACCTTCTCCAGATCCTTCAGGTTTCGGGGCTGTCGCTGGGCAATACGGACTTTCAGCTCCCTCCAAAGATTTTCTATTGGGTTCAGGTCTGGAGACTGGCTAGGCCACTCCAGGACCTTGAGATGCTTCTTACGGAGCCACTCCTTAGTTGCCCTGGCTGTGTGTTTCGGGTCGTTGTCATGCTGGAAGACCCAGCCACGACCCATCTTCAATGCTCTTACTGAGGGAAGGAGGTTGTTGGCCAAGATCTCGCGATACATGGCCCCATCCATCCTCCCCTCAATACGATGCAGTCGTCCTGTCCCCTTTGCAGAAAAGCATCCCCAAAGAATGATGTTTCCACCTCCATGCTTCACGGTTGGGATGGTGTTCTTGGGGTTGTACTCATCCTTCTTCTTCCTCCAAACACGGCGAGTGGAGTTTAGACCAAAAAGCTCTATTTTTGTCTAATCAGACCACATGACCTTCTCCCATTCCTCCTCTGGATCATCCAGATGGTCATTGGCAAACTTCAGACGGGCCTGGACATGCGCTGGCTTGAGCGGGGGGACCTTGCGTGCGATGCAGGATTTTAATCCATGACGGCGTAGTGTGTTACTAATGGTTTTCTTTGAGACTGTGGTCCCAGCTCTCTTCAGGTCATTGACCAGGTCCTGCCGTGTAGTTCTGGGCTGATCCCTCACCTTCCTCATGATCATTGATGCCCCACGAGGTGAGATCTTGCATGGAGCCCCAGACCGAGGGTGATTGACCGTCATCTTGAACTTCTTCCATTTTCTAATAATTGCCCCAACAGTTGTTGCCTTCCCACCAAGCTGCTTGCCTATTGTCCTGTAGCCCATCCCAGCCTTGTGCAGGTCTACAATTTTATCCCTGATGTCCTTACACAGCTCTCTGGTCTTGGCCATTGTGGAGAGGTTGGAGTCTGTTTGATTGAGTGTGTGGACAGGTGTCTTTTATACAGGTAACGAGTTCAAACAGGTGCAGTTAATACAGGTAATGAGTGGAGAACAGGAGTGCTTCTTAAAGAAAAACTAACAGGTCTGCGAGAGCCGGAATTCTTACTGGTTGGTAGGTGATCAAATACTTATGTCATGCAATAAAATGCAAATTAATTACTTAAAAATCATACAATGTGAAGTGTACCTATGATAAAAATTACAGACCTCTACATGCTTTGTAAGTAGAAAAACCTGCAAAATCGGCAGTGTATCAAATACTTGTTCTCCCCACTGTAGCTACCTCAATTACCTCGTACCCCTGTACATCAACTCGGTACTGGTACTCCCTGTATATAGCCATGTTATTTTTACTCATTACAATTTGTAAGTCGCTCTGGATAAGAGCGTCTGCTAAATGACTTAAATGTAAATAATTCACTGTGTATTTATTCCTTGTCACTATTTCTATATTTTTTAAATATTTACCTTTAACTCTGCATTGTTGGAAAAGGACCTGTAAGTAAGCATTTCACTGTTAGTCTACACCTGTTTACATATGACAAATAACATTTGATTTTATTATTATTGGATGGGTTAGATAGATGTAGCCAGAGCCATATATTAATTTAGAAATACATACATGGCTCTGGATGTAGCCAGTTATATCCCTCTACATAATTATATGGTCACCTCACCCAGTTTTAAAAATATGGATTTCTCCAAAAGTTCTTTCATGTACATACAAGGCCAATATTCAATCTACATTTCTGTGGTTCTGTATTTTGTTGTCACTGCACTTGTCTTTGGGATTTAGATGAGGGGAGAGGGACCTCTACTGGCCAACTATCAACATACAGCATTAACTATTAAAATGCAATACATGACCAAAAGTATGTGGGCACCTGCTCATCGACCATCTCATTCCAAAATCATGGGCATTAACATGGAGTTGGTCCCCCCTTTACTGCTATAACAGCCTCCACTCTCCTGGAAAGGCTTTCCACTAGATGTTGGAACATTGCGGCGGGGACTTGCTTCCATTCAGCCACAAGAGCGTTAGTGAAGTCGTGCACTGATGTTGGGCGATTAGGCCTGGCTCACAGTCGGCGTTCCAATTCATCCCAAAGGTGTTCGATGGGGTTGAGGAGGTCAGGGCTCTGTGCAGGCCAGTCAAGTTCTTCCACAACGATCTCGGACCTCGCTTTGTGCATGGGGGCAATGTCATGCTGAAACAGGAAAGTGCCTTCCCCAAACAGTTGCCACAAAGTTGGAAGCACAGAATAGTCTAGAATGTCATTGTATGCTGTAGAGTTAATATTTCCCTTCACTGGAACTAAGGGGCCTAGCCCGAACCATGAAAAACAGCCCCAGACCATTATTCCTCCTCCATCAAAATGTGCAGTTGGCACTATGCATTGGGGCAGGTAGCGTTCTCCTGGCATCTGCCAAACCCAGATTTGTCAGTCAGACTGCCAGAAAGTGTGATTCATCACCCCAGAGAACACATTTCCACTGCTCCAGAGTCCAATGGCAGCGAGCTTTACATCACTCCAGCCGACACTTGGCATTGCACATGGTGATCTTAGACTTGTGTGCGGCTACTCAGCCATGGAAACCCATTTCACGAAGCTTCCGCCTAACAGTTCTTGTGCTGATGTTGCTTCCAGAGGCAGTTTGGAACTTGGTAGTGAGTGTTGCAACCAAGGACAGACGATTTCTACGCGCTACGTGCTTCAGCGGTCCCGTTCTGTGAGCTTGTGTGGCCTACCACTTCGTGGCTGAGCCGTTGTTGCACCTAGACGTTTCCACTTCACAATAACAGCACTTACAGTTGACCAGGGCAGCTCTAGCAGGGCAGAAATTTGGCGAACTGACTTGTTGGAAAGGTGGCATCCTATGACGGTGCCATGTTGAAAGTCACTGAGCTTTTCAGTAAGGCCAGTCAACTGCCAATGTTTGTCTATAGAGATTGCATGGCGGTGTGCTCGATTTTATACACTTGTCAGCAACGGGTGGCTGAAATAGCCGAATCCACTACTTTCGTCCACATATTTTTGTATATATAGTGTATATGACCCCTGGAAGACTATCTTTTAAATCGCATACATTAGTCGCCTGCTATTTTATTTATTTCTGCATTTACCGTATCTTGTGTATCCATATGTAGAGCGCAATGTTTTCCTTTCCATTAGCTAAAACATCCATTCCATAACTATACATATTAGGGTGAAAAAGCATGATTCAGTTTAGGCTCTCTGTAATAGCCAAATTAGAGTCAAGGAAAAACATGTCCTGGCCAAAGGGGAAATTAATACCAGTAAGACTAAATACAGTGGTATTTAATGTTGACATTTAATATTCACTGTGACTACCAATTGAGTGAGTTAGTATTAATTGGTAGGTCAGTAGATAGTGTTTATATTGAGTAGCTTGGTTCGGGAAACCAGCTACAGATCACTGCAGTCTAATCTATTGTAGGAAATAACTAGAATAAAAAATATATATATTTCATAATTTAACTTTTTAGACATGTTAGTAATACATTTGTATTTCAAGAGAGGCCTGTATAATGTTGACAATTAATAGTTTGGAAGATCCCCATTTTATTTAATGAATACAGGAGGTATACATTCGAAGAGTAAAACATGCACTGTCTGTACATCTCCAACTCCCATGAGCCTTGGCAAATTACAAATTAACTGCCAAACTGTTAAATCACATTAAAAGGAAGATCTTATTCTATTTACACTACTTAATTACTAAAAACCAAAACAGTGCTTTATAAAACTCGAATAGCTTTTCTAACAGAGTATCAAAGGCAGGCGTGCATCCGAAAATGGCACCCTATTCACTATAAAATGGCCAACCCTGGTCAAAAAAGTAAACGACCTACGTAACGAATAGGGTGCCATTTCATTCACAGCCAGAGTGTCCAGGTAGCGGACAGGCTAGCATTAGTGAGTGGCTCATAGGTCAACGTGGTCCACTTCCTCCAGGGGAGGGTGTAGTAGAGCCTGGATGGAGCTGCGCCTGCCCCTGGTCTTCCTGCGGACGGCCCTGAGGGAGTCCGGAGAGGTGTGGGGCAGCCAGGCCAGGCCGGAACCGCTGTCCTCCAGGGTGCTGCTCTGGCTCTGGTTCCTCAGACTGCGGCGGACAGAACGATGCCCCCTGCGAGGGAGAGGCCGCAGCACGTCATCGATGCTGAACTCTTCCTGTGCCCAGGGGGGTAGGAGGGAGTCTGGGTAGGAGGTGGAGGCCTGTTCTGTAATGTTACCCAGCTCCATCTCTGACCCGTGGTTATCGTTCTCTACTTCCTGCCCTCTCTCCTCCACTGCCTCTGGCCCATTTGACTGGGGTGCCTGCTCCTCCTCTATGACTGAGCTGGTGTATATAGAGCTCCTTCTACCCCTGGAGCGGCCCAGGCCCCGAGCTGCTCCTCTCTGCCCGCCTTTGTTTGGACTCTGTTCTACATGGCTCACTGCCTCCTGCTCTGAGGGAGCCACTGTGGTACTAACCTCATCTGGAGGAGGGCAGGGTGTAGTAGCATCAGTGTCTGCTCTAGCCGGACTATCCCCACTCCTACCTGCATCTGGTAGTGTGCCAGTGCATTGATCTGTATCTGTATCTACACGGGCTGAGGTACAGTGTGTATTAGGTTCACCCTCTCTGTTACCAGGTACTGTGTGTTTGGCTGGGCTGGACACTGAAAACTGAGTTGTTTCCGTTAGGTCTTGTTCTGCATCAGTGTTCTCTACCTCCTCCTCTGTCTCTTCACTGAGACAGTCATCAACAGGAACACTCACCTTCCTGCCCTTCCCTCTACCTCCTCTGCCTACTCTAATAATACTCTGCTCTTTGGTTCTGGAGGTCTTTGTTGGACCTGGCCGTCTTCTCCTGACCTGTGCTACTCTTCCAGTCCCAGAGCTGTCTGTGGTGGTGGAGCCCACAGGGCTCTGGCTGTCTACTGAAGGCCCATCAGAGGGCTCTGCAGCTGGGGTGGTGTCTTCTGGTGAGTCCTCACTGGCCGCGGGGCAGAAGCAGCTTCGCCTCAGGGCTGCAGCCGTGACCACTCCGGTGATGGGGTCACTGTTAATGTAATCTTCTAATAGGATGGAGTCTTCTTTGGCTGTGGCGGGAGGACACACAACATGGCTTACTACTGAACATGAAATATGTTAGAACGTTAATTAAATACCTTCAAATCACCTATAATTTCCATTCTCAGAACGTTAATAAAACCTCCCAGGAAAACTTTCAGCGAACCATAGTAAAATGTTCTCAGAACCTCCATGCAACCTGAAAAATGAAAGTTCCCAGAACAGGCAACATCTTAAAAGGGCGGCAGATAGGCTAGCAGTTAAGAGCGTTGGGCCAGTAACCAAAAGGTCACTGGTTTGATTCCCCGAGGTGACTAGGTGAAAAATCTGTATTCGTGGGGATACTTGGGAGCAGATTTCCTTAATTGTTGTTGTTTTTGTTGCTGAATTCCTGGTGATTTTAGTCTTTTTAGACCAACAATTAATTCAAAAAAAATTTGTAAAAACTTTGGGGTACCAAAAAAATTGAATCGCTTGCGGGCCGGTTACCGACCCCTGATCTAAAGTATCTTCATAAGTGAGTGTGGGTGTAGTTCCTTGAGGTATACAGTGAACTCAACAGTGGAAGCCTGGCTCTCACCAATCATGTTAGATCAATGATTAGTTCATGGAAGGAATGATTCTTCCTGGGTATTCGAACAGAGCCTAACAGCTGTGTGCTTACCTGTGCGTCTGCAGTTGTGGGGGTGTTGAGGAGAGTGGCTAAGGGAGGACAGGGTCTCCGTGATGGGGCTGAGGGTGGGGTTCTTGGATGCGTAGTCTCTCTTCCCGTACAGAGAACGGTCCACTGACTTCTTCCCAAAGCCACGCTTTGCTGAGTTCTAGAGAAACACAAACACAGTGAACACCCAAGCCGGTTTGTCCCATCCTTACAACCTTGCACCTCTCCTTGTTTACGTTTGTTTATTCATTGTTTTACTGTCATCTCTGAGGAATACAGTTATTACAACAAGTGTAGCTCAGTTGGTAGAGCACGGCACTTGTAAGCCAGGGTAGTGGGTTCAATACCCAGAACCACCCATACGTAAAATGTATGCCCACATAACTAAGTCGCTTTGTATAAAAGCGTCTGTTAAATGGCATATCCATATACTACAGTGCATTCGGAAAGTATTCAGACCCCTTGACTTTTTCCACTTTTTGTTCCGTTACAGCCTTATTCTAAAATGGATTAAATAAAAAATTGTACTTAATCTACCCACAATACCCCATAATGACAAAGTGAAAACAAGTTTAGACATTTTAGCAAATTTATCAAGGACAAAAATACCTTATTTACATAAGTATTCAGACCCTTTGCTATGAGACTCGAAATTGAGCTCAGGTGCATCCTGTTTCCATTGATCATCCTTGAGATGTTTCTACAACTTGATTGGAGTCCACCTGTGGTAAATTCAATTGATTGGACATGATTTGGAAAGGCACACACCTGTCTATATAAAGGTCCCACAGATGACAGTGCATGTCAGAGCAAAACCAAGCCATGAGATCGAAGGAATTGTCCGTAGAGCGCAGAGACAGGATTGTGTCGAGGCACAGATCTGGGGAAGGTAGCAAAAAATGTCTGCAGCATTGAAGGTCCCCAAGAACACAGTGGCCTCAATCATTCTTAAATGGAAGAAGTTTGGAACCACCAAGACTCTTCCTAGAGCTGGCCGCCAGGCCAAACTGAGCAATCGGGAGAAGGGACTTGGTCAGGGAGGTGACCAAGAACCCGATGATCACTCTGACAGAGCTCCAGAGGTCATCTGTGGAGATGGGAGAACCTTCCAGAAGTTAGGGCTGTCCCCGACTAAACAAAAAAATATTTGGTGACCGAAAGTCGTCTGTTCTTAAGACCAATCGACTGCTCAAAAATGTTAACTGTGTATTTTTCTATATATAGGGTGTGTCTATGTGTTTTAATAAAATCAATTATGTGCATTGAGCTTGTCTGACACCTCAAGAGGGCGCCAGAGATCTAGATTACCAGAAGAAAAAAATCTTAACCTGACCCAACTATTCTCCTCCCGCTCCTGCTGGCTTTCGCAGATTCTGCCATTACTCTCCTGAAGTTGCAGGTAATAGGCTACACGAGGAGTCGGCAACCTTTCTCATGTGGAATGCCAATTTATCTTACCATTTCTACCCATCTGCATGCCAGTTAAAGTTTCATATGCACATTTTCGTGAAACAGTTTCATTTAATATCTCAAAATCATTGTCATGTGGTTAATTCGAATTCTATCCAAATTTAAATGAAAATGATACAAACCTAAAAAGTAACTTCTATTGCCATTGCCAAATAGGTAAAAATAGCCTACATAAAGCCAACAAATAAAAACATTGTAGCCTGCTGGTAGAAATTATCCTGATTAAAAATAAATATCCTATGAATCACATTGGCTACACATGGCCCGTCTGCATCGAACTTGAAACATTGTATCAACTATTAACTGGGTCTGGCCCAAAGCTTGAGCTAGTGAACTTGCAATATTGTATAAAATATTCTGGGTCCTCATTTTCCCACACCAGTGAGCTCGGGACAGAGACAGCTGTAGGCTATTTGAGCAAGGGATAAGAAGCAGTGCTTGACTTGGGCAGTAACTCACCGGAGATGAGTACCAGCTCCTCAAATGTTCTACTGCTTGAGTTCCTGTTCCTCTTATAGAATATTAGCTCAAAAGTATTGTGGAGCTCCTGCCCCTATAAACAGTACCAGCACCCAAAATGAGTACCAGAACCTATTTCAGTCCAAGTCAAGCACTGATAAGAAGCCTATTTTATGACGTTTCCACTGGATCAGAGCATGACATTTTCCCCTTTCACGCTGAGTGGTTATCGAAAGGGAGAGAGCTGGAAAGAATTTTCAAATACAGTGAGGAACGATTGTAATTCTCAATGGATGTAAAAACAGACTTAATTTGCTTGCTGTTTGAGGTGAAGAAAACATTACTTTGAGAAGCTCCACAGGTCATTAGAGGTGGTGCGCTAAGCCAATCAGAAATACTATCAGATCCCCAAATGGGTACATTTACAGTTGAAGTCGGAAGTTTACATACACCTTAGCCAAATACATTTAAACTCAGTTTTTCACAATTCCTGACATTTAATCCTAGTAAAAATTCCCTGTCTTAGGTCAGTTAGGATCACCACTTTATTTTAAGAATGTGAAATGTCAGAATAGTAGTAGAGAGAATGATTTATTTTATTTCTTTCATCACATTTTCAGTGGGTCAGAAGTTTACATACACTCAATTAGTATTTGGTAGCATTGCCTTTAAATTGTTTAACTTGGGTCAAACGTTTCGGGTAGCCTTCCACAAGCTTCCCACAATAAGTTGGGAGAACTTTGGCCCATTCCTCCTGACAGAGCTGGTGTAACTGAGTCAGGTTTGTAGGCCTCCTTGCTCGCACACGCTTTTTCAGTTCTGCCCACAAATGTTCTATAGGATTGAGGTCAGGGTTTTGTGTTGGACACTCCAATACCTTGACTTTGTTGTCCTTAAGCCATTTTGCCACAACTTTGGAAGTGGGCTTGGGGTCATTGTCCATTTGGAAGGACCATTTGCGACCAAGCTTTAACTTCCTGACTGATGTCTTGAGATATTGCTTCAATATATCCACATAATTTTCCTTCCTCATGATGCCATCTATTTTGTGAAGTGCACCAGTCCCTCCTGCAGCAAAGCACCCCCACAGCATGATACTGCCACCCCCGTGCTTCACAGTTTGGATAGTGTTCTTCGGCTTGCAAGCAACCCCCTTTTTCCTCCAAACATAACGATGGTCATTATGGCCAAACGGTTCTATTTTTGTTTCATCAGACCAGAGGACATTTCTCCAAAAAGTACGATCTTTGTCCCCATGTGCAGTTGCAAACCGTAGTCTGTGTTTTTTATGGCGGTTTTGGAGCAGTGGCTTCTTCCTTGCTGAGCGTCAATGTCGATATAGGACTTGTTTTACTGTGGATATAGATAATTTTGGACCTGTTTCCTCCAGCAACTTCACAAGGTCCTTTGCTGTTGTTCTGGGATTGATTTGCACTTTTCGCACCAAAGTATGTTCATCTCTAGGAGACAGAACGCGTCTCCTTCCTGAGCGGTATGACGGCTGCGTGGTCCCATGGTGTTTATACTTGCGTACTATTGTTTGTACAGATGAACGTGGTACCTTCAGGCGTTTGGAAATTGCTCCCAAGGATGAACCAGACTTGTGGAGGTCTACCATTTTTTTCAGAGGTCTTGGCTGATTTCTTTTGATTTTCCCATGATGTCAAGCAAAGAGGCACTGAGTTTGAAGGTAGGCCTTGAAATACATCCACAGGTATACCTCCAATTGACTCAAATGATGTCAATTAGCCTATCAGAAGCTTCTAAAGCCATGACATCATTTCCTGGAATTTTCCAAGCTGTTTAAAGGCACAGTGAACTTAGTGTATGTAAACTTCTGACCCACTGGAATTGTGATACAGTGAATTATAAGTGAAATAATCTGTCTGTAAACAATTGTTGGAAAAATTACATGCACAAAGTAGATGTCTTAACCGACTTGCCAAAACTATAGTTTGTTAACAAGAAATTTGTGGAGTGGTTGAAAAACGAGTTTTAATGACTCCAACCTAAGTGTATGTAAACTTCCGACTTCAACTGTATATGCCTACATTTGCGCGCAGGCTAGGTAGCCTATAGGCCTACTTCTATGCGTGCGCGTCCTTTCTCAACATTGACAGGAGCGCTCCAAACAAAATACTAAATTGACAGAACACCTAAATGGAATTAAATACACCAAAACTTGTTTCTCACAAGTGTAGCATACAGTGAGGGAAAAAAGTATTTGATCCCCTGCTGATTTTGTACGTTTGCCCACTGACAAATAAATGATCAGTCTATAATTTTAATGGTAGGTTTATTTGTACAGTGAGAGACAGAATAACAACAAAAAAGTCCAGAAAAAACGCATGTCAAAAATGTTATAAATTGATTTGCATTTTAAATTAGGGAAATAAGTATTTGACCCCCTCTCAATCAGAAAGATTTCTGGCTCCCAGTTGTCTTTTATACAGGTAAAGAGCTGAGATTAGGAGCACACTCTTAAAGGGAGTGCTCCTAATCTCAGCTTGTTACCTGTATAAAAGACACCTGTCCACAGACGCAATCAATCAATCAGATTCCAAACTCTCCACCATGGCCAAGACCAAAGAGCTCTCCAAGGATGTCAGGGACAAGATTGTAGACCTACACAAGGCTGGAATGGGCTACAAGACCATCGCCAAGCAGCTTGGTGAGAAGGTGACAACAGTTGGTGCGATTATTCGCAAATGGAAGAAACACAAAATAACTGTCAATCTCCCTCGACCTGGGGCTCCATGCAAGATCTCACCTCGTGGAGTTGCAATGATCATGAGAACAGTGAGGAATCAGCCCAGAACTACACGGGAGGATATTGTCAATGATCTCAAGGCAGCTGGGTCCATAGTCACCAAGAAAACAATTGGTAACACACTACACCGTGAAGGACTGAAATCGTGCAGCGCCCGCAAGGTTCCCCTGCTCAAGAAAGCACATATACAGGGCTGTCTGAAGTTTGCCAATGAACATCTGAATGATTCAGAGGAGAACTGGGTGAAAGTGTTGTGGTCAGATGAGACCAAAATCGAGCTCTTTGGCATCAACTCAGCTCGCCGTGTTTGGAGGAGGAGGAATGCTGCCTATGACCCCATGAACACCATCAAACATAGAGGTGGAAACATTATGCTTTGGGGGTGTTTTTCTGCTAAGGGGGCAGGACAACTTCACCGCATCAAAGGGACGATGGACGGGGACATGTACCGTCAAATCTTGGGTGAGAACCTCCTTCTCTCAGCCAGGGCATTGAAAATGGGTCGTGGATGGGTATTCCAGCATGACAATGACCCAAAACACACGGCCAAGGCAACAAAGGAGTGGCTCAAGAAGAAGCACATTAAGGTCCTGGAGTGGCCTAGCCAGTTTCCAGACCTTAATCCCATAGAAAATCTGTGGAGGGAGCTGAAGGTTCGAGTTGCCAAACGTCAGCCTCGAAACCTTAATGACTTGGAGAAGATCTGCAAAGAGGAGTGGGACAAAATCCCTCCTGAGATGTGTGCAAACCTGGTGGCGAACTACAAGAAACATCTGACCTCTGTGATTGCCAACAAGGGTTTTGCCACCAAGTACTAAGTCAGGTTTTGCAGAGGGGTCAAATACTTATTTCCCTCATTAAAATGCAAATCAATTCATAACATTTTTGACATGCGTTTTTCTGGATTCTTTGTTGTTATTCTGTCTCTCACTGTTCAAATAAACCTACCATTAAAATTATAGACTGATCATGTCTTTGTCAGTGGGCAAATGTACAAAATCAGCAGGGGATCAAATACTTTTTTCCCCTCACTGTAGGTTGTGCACTCTGCAAACAATGTGTCCACTCCGGCAATGAGAACAGGAAGACTGGAATAATAATATTGAATGCATTAAAATAAATGGCCGTAACCAAAGTAACAAACATATATACAGTGGGGAGAACAAGTATTTGATACACTGCCGATTTTGCAGGTTTTCCTACTTACAAAGCATGTAGAGGTCTGTAATTTTTATCATAGGTACATTTCAACTGTGAGAGACGGAATCTAAAACGAAAATCACATATGATTTTTAAGTAATTAATTTGCATTTTATTGCATGACATAAATATTTGATCACCTACCAACCAGTAAGAATTCCGGCTCTCACAGACCTGTTCGTTTTTCTTTAAGAAGCCCTCCTGTTCTCCACTCATTACCTGTATTAACTGCACCTGTTTGAACTCGTTACCTGTATAAAAGACACCTGTCCACACACTCAATCAAACATACTCCAACCTCTCCACAATGGCCAAGACCAGAGAGCTGTGTAAGGACATCAGGGATAAAATTGTAGACCTGCACAAGGCTGGGATGGGCTACAGGACAATAGGCAAGCAGCTTGGTGAGAAGGCAACAACTGTTGGCGCAATTATTAGAAAATGGAAGAAGTTCAAGATGACGGTCAATCACCCTCGGTCTGGGGCTCCATGCAAGATCTCACCTCGTGGGGCATCAATGATCATGAGGAAGGTGAGGGATCAGCCCACTAAGCAGGTAGCTTAGTGGTTAAGAGCGTTGTGCCAGTAATCTAAAGGTCGCTGGTTCTAATCCCCGAGCAGACTAGGTGAAAAATCTGTCAATGTGCCCTTGAGCAAGGCACTTAACCCTAATTGCTCCTGTAAGTCGCTCTGGATAAGAGCGTCTACTAAATGGGGGAAAAAAAAATAAAAATAAAATAAAAAGCAGGACCTGGTCAATGACCTGAAGAGAGCTGGGACCACAGTCTCAAAGAAAACCATTAGTAACACACTACGCCGTCATGGATTAAAATCCTGCAGCGCACGCAAGGTCCCCCTGCTCAAGCCAGCGCATGTCCAGGCCCGTCTGAAGTTTGCCAATGACCATCTGGATGATCCAGAGGAGGAATGGGAGAAGGTCATGTGGTCTGATGAGATAAAATTTGAGCTTTTTGGTCTAAACTCCACTTGCCGGGTTTGAAGGAAGAAGGATGAGTACAACCCCAAGAACACCATCCCAACCGTGAAGCATGGAGGTGGAAAAATCATTCTTTGGGGATGCTTTTCTGCAAAGGGGACAGGACGACTGCACCGTATTGAGGGGAGGATGGATGGGGCCATGTATCGCGAGATCTTGGCCAACAACCTCCTTCCCTCAGTAAGAGCATTGAAGATGGGTCGTGGCTGGGTCTTCCAGCATGACAACGACCCGAAACACACAGCCAGGGCAACTAAGGAGTGGTTCCGTAAGAAGCATCTCAAGGTCCTGGAGTGGCCTAGCCAGTCTCCAGACCTGAACCCAATAGAAAATCTTTGGAGGGAGCTGAAAGTCCGTATTGCCCAGCGACAGCCCCGAAACCTGAAGGATCTGGAGAAGGTCTGTATGGAGGAGTGGGCCAAAATCCCTGCTGCAGTGTGTGCAAACCTGGTCAAGACCTACAGGAAACGTATGATCTCTGTAATTGCAAACAAAGGTTTCTGTACCAAATATTAAGTTCTGCTTTTCTGATGTATCAAATACTTATGTTATGCAATAACATGCAAATTAATTACTTAAAAATCATACAATGTGATTTTCTGGATTTTTGTTTTAGATTCCGTCTCTCACAGTTGAAGTGTACCTATGATAAAAATTACAGACCTCTACATGCTTTGTAAGTAGGAAAACCTGAAAAATCGGCAGTGTATCAAATACTTGTTCTCCCCACTGTGTGTGTGTGTGTATATATATATATATATTTTTTTTTTTGTTACTGCTCGACTAAAACAAATCTGGGTCGACCAACAGCGTAACGACCAAACAATCGACCAGTCGACTAATTGGGGTCAGTCCTACCAGAAGGACAACCATCTCTGCAGCACTCCACCAATCAGGCCTTTATGGTAGAGTGGCCAGACGGAAGCCACTCCTCAGTAAAAGGCACAAGACAGCCCGCTTGGAGTTTGCCAAAAGGCACCTAAAGGACTCTCAGACCATGAGAAACAAGATTATCTGGTCTGATGAAACGAAGATTGAACTCTTTGGCCTGAATGCCAAGCGTCACGTCTGGAGGAAACCTGGCACCACCCCTACGGTGAAGTATGGTGGTGGCAGCATCATGCTGTGGGGATGTTTTTCAGCGGCAGGGACTGGAAAGACTAGTCAGGATCGAGGGAAAGATGAACGGAGCAAAGTACAGAGAGATCCTTGATGGAAACCTGCTTCAGAGCGCTCAGGACATCAGACTGGGGCGAAGGTTCACTATTCAACAGGACAACGACCCTAAGCACACAGACAAGACAATGCAGGAGTGGCTTCAGGACAAGTCTCTAAATATCCTTGAGTGGCCCAACCAGAGCACAGACTTAAACCTGATCGAACATCTCTGGAGAGACCTGAAAATAGCTTCGCAGCAAAGCTCCCCATCTAGCCTGACAGAGCTTGAGAGGGTCTGCAGAGAAGAATGGGAGAAACTCCCCAAATACAGGTGTGCCAGACTTGTAGCGTCATATCCAATAAGACTCGAGGCTGTAATCACTGCCAAAGGTGCTTCAACAAAGTACTGAGTAAAGGGTCTGAATACTTATGTAAATGTGATATTTCAATTTTTTTTAATACATTTGCAAACATTTCTAAAAACCTGTTTTTGCTTTGTCATTATTGGGTATTGTGTGTAGATTGATGAGGGGGAAAAACAATTTAATCCATTTTAAAATAAGGCTGTAATGTAACAAAATGTGGAAAAAGTCAAGGGGTCTGAATACTTTCCGAATGGACTGTATATATTATTATTATTATAATAACAATCACAGTAGACTAGCTTCTTTGGCCCCTCGAAATGCTAATTCCTGTCCTGTTCAGAACTAAAGCAAATCCCACAAGTACTCCAAACACCACCTTCTTGTAAATGAAGTTCAATTCTTGCAGAAATTTGAATAAAGTAACCACCCTTGAGCGTGAGAAAGGCAGATTGACTGTGGCTTACAATGAGGCAAGTAGCTTGGTGTATGTAATACCTCCCTGAGGCTTAGCTCACTGTACTACCCACAGCCACAGTCTGTAATAGTCTAAGTCTCTGTAGAGAAGGTAAATTGATGAGCAGAGCCCAGACTGACCTTCATCCTCCCACAGGCAGACTTGGCAGCCGTACGAGACGACCTCTTCTTCACAGGCTCACTCTTCTCCTCTGGTTGCTGAAAGAACAGAGATGGAGATAGATAAGAGATAGAGAAAAGTGAGATATATGAAGAGGGAAAAACATGAAGATACATAGATATACAGGTAGATAGAGAGAGAGATAGAGGTGGCATTAGGATAGGATCTATTTGGATACACTCACAAGCTCTTCCATTCATATTAACCCTAGATCATCAGATTAAGATAATATTTTTACTATGATAATATTGGTCCAGAGATAATCTTATCTAATTGATGTGTAAGTGGTGGGAATGAGGATATCCTGTTCAGTGAATGAGTGGTGTTACCAGACCTTTCTCTTTCTGCTGCGAGAGCGGGTTGTGGCGGCTGGTTCTGGCTCCAGGGCAGGAGCAGGCACTGGGGCAGGGTCAGGCACTGGGGCAACATCTACAGCAAACACACCTCCGCTCTCATTTGACCTCACTGACACCCCTGTAAACACTGTAAACCAATGACTTGAGGCTGAGGAGTAGAGGTGCTGTTACATAAGGGGAGAGTGAGAGGTGGGTGGAATAAAATCTGAAGTCTGACCCTGCGTCCCAAATAGCACCCTATTCCCTATATACTGCACTACATAGGAAATAGGGTGTAATTTGAGACGCAGCACAGGTCTGAACTGAAGTAACTAGATCTCACCTGGCATTTCCTCACAAACAGAGTCCTCCTCTTGAAAAGCTGAGGTCAGATCCAGAGATCGATTATCCAGCTCTGGAAATACATACAGCAAGTGACAACAATGTGAAGTTTTACACAGAGCATGACTAGAAACATAGCTTCCTCTCAGCAATGATCACTGTTCAACAACCAACCTGCATTGTCCATCCATGAACTGTCAACATATTCTTCCATTGAAGGGAAAGGGATCTGAGGGCATAGAGAATTACTGCATTATTTCCATGGTCAATAACTAACCCACATGCTGGATTACCAGAAAGAACATTGATTGGTCGTACTCATTAGGGAATGCTGTAGCAAAACGTTTGGCAACGGAAAACAAGCGTTTCTTATTGGAAGTTCAGGTAGTCCCTTCCTGTTTCAGTACCCGTCTGCTTCCATTTGGTGCCTAATGAATACGACCCTGGCCTCATCATTTTGGGGCAGGTCAATCACTGTGTTGGTGAGTGACAGGTACCTTTCCCTGAGTGTGGGTGCTCTCCTGTTCCCCACAGCAGGGCCCCATAGTGAGGGGTGGGGAGGCTCCAGTCAGAGAGGGGCTACTGAAGTCCGGCTGGGCCAGGGTTAGGGGGGTCCTCTGGGGGGTCTTCAGCAGTGACCTCAGCTGGGACCCACCGGCAGATGTTGGGGCGCGGGCCGGGGTTCCCCCCTTCCGTAGAGGGGTGCTGGGTGGCAGGTTCTTGTCAAAGAGCTCAGGTGGCAGCAGGATCCCGAAACGTACCTGCTTCTTCTTCATAGTGGAGTTAACGTTACCACCATCAGCTTCATCTAAAGGACAAATAAATATTGTTTACTCATCAACATCACTTGACCATCATAACAGCTTCATTCAACCTACTGCTTCTCTTACAGAAAAATGTTAGCGGGTGATGAATCATAAACAACAGCCGTTGCTGCTCTCAGAAACAACATTTTTCCTGCCTCAGTTTTTGCTTAGTCAATATTATCTGTAGTATGCTTAGCTTGCACTGTGCTTCAAAGCTTGATACAGATTAAAGGATAGGTTCCTCTATAACAACACAGAGGGGAGCAGCATATTTACCAGTGGGGTTCATCTCCAGAAGAGATGGCATGGGGAACAGCGGGGGCAGAGTTGTCCTGACTCGTCCTGAATGCAAAACCAGAGGTTGGCTGGGGCTGTGCAGTTCAAATGAGCACTCCTGTGGGGTGAGAGGGAACCAAAGATAATGTTTGAGAGCCAGGCAGGAACCTGGGGTGAGAGTAGCAGTTGTGTTGGCTGCAGAACTGTGAGGGCTTCACAGAGAGAAGAGGAGACTCGGGCCCTGGACCAAAGTGTTTTTTTTTTTTTTACCCCACACCAGTTAAGTTGACACTACATAGGGAATAGGGTGCCATTTGGAACACAGATTGGTGTGTGTGTGGATGAGGCTAGATGAAATATTACCTGGTCCTGCTCCTCCTTGGTGGGAGTGCAGTGCTGCTGCTTCATAGGAGAGGACTGGGGCTGTGGCTCGCCCTGGGTGATCTGTGACACAGCATCAGTATGCAGGGCTGGTGACTGAGACACACTAGCAGGTTCTACAGTGAGAGCTGGCTGATGGTCCTTGTTCTGGACAACTGCAACCTGAGGAGGTGTTCATTATGGGTTAGTGGTTGTCAGGACATTGTGGTCACATAATAATACATTTAGTTTGGTTAATAATAATACATTTAGTTTATAACGACTTTTCAATATTTCTTACCAGTTGCTCAACATGTACACGCCAAAGTTGCAAAAAACACACCAACAGATTCAGAATGGTTTGCCAAGTTATATTAGTCATTTAACAGACAGAGAAATGTTTTTCCAGTGTGATGAGGTTACCTCCTTGTTCTGTTGCTGCTTCAATGTGGTGGCAGTGCGTTTGAGGACAGGAGTGGTGGCCTCCCTAATCTCTTCCACACACTCCCCCAGAGGGCGTGTTGTGCAGCGCCTCTTACTGGGTGGGGAAGTCAGAGAGGGATGCTGGCTCACTGGGGACTTGTTCTCCTTCCCACCACTGTAACCATCATAGCTCCACCCATCTGAGAGTTAAGACAACACCCATCAACAACTACAGCCCAGAATAGAAAACTCTTACAGAATATACTAAAAGGGTCAATCTGTAGTATCTGGATGAGACATTTTCAGGAGCTCCAAAAACATTACACACGAAAAAGTTTGGTTTCTCCATGCCCTCACAGAAGTATAACGCATACATTAAAACTTAAAAGCTGCTACACATAGGATTTTTATTTTTTGCATTGTAATTTCAGAAAACGTCCTTAATATATCTGCTGCTAATAGTGGAATGATAATGTTTCACAGTATTACTTACCGGCCAGTGTTGTGATTGAGAAAACAAGCACTGAATAGTGTAGACAATCATTGTACCACAAACTGAAATTGAGTGAACAGTGTAGAATTTTAGCAACCAGGAAATGACAGAACAGCTTTCCCAGTTTGACAACCAATTCCGCTCCTTTCGGAGAAATCAATAGGCGAATATCACAGCCAATCACAACACTGGTGGGTAAGTAATACTGAGAAACACTATCATTCCACTATTAGCGCCAGATACTGTATATTATGGACATTTTCTGAAATTACAATGCAAAAAATATTTTACAAATCCTGTGTGTAGCACCTTTAAACATTTTTTTGGGGAAAAAGTCCAGCACAATCACACAACTTTTAAATAGTATACTCAGACAAAGCACCAATTTCAGTTCATGTAATAATAAGTGATTAATAAATGATTTATCCTTTTTCATTGAAGCAGACTCACCACCAGACAGAACATCTCTTGTCTTGATGCATCCCCCTGTGTGATTGTCCTGTTTTGGCACTGCTTCATTCTCCTCCACATTCATAATGCTCTGGAAGATGGCCATCTTCTGCTTTAGAGTAGATGGGCCTCTGGGAAAGAAGGGGATGGCTTGGGTGTCCTACAAAGAGAGAGAAAAGGAGAAATACATGGTAAACACAAATGGTTTCAAATTTTGTGATGCAATTGGTTAACCTCTTTTCAACTACAGATGCATTGTAGCAAGAGAGACAGTTTATAGACTTGTCATAAATGTAATTGGCTCTAACTAGGAGCATTATAGCTCCAACTCAGATTAACACAAACAGTCTGAGTATGATCATGCATGAGCAAACTCATCTCACCTGTGGTGTTGTGGGGGGAGTTTTCCTCCTTCGATGGGCTATGTAGCGGATTAGGGAGTTGGTCTCTGGTGAACTCTGTACCCCAACATTGCACCTCCGCTTCGCCTTCAGCTGAGCCAGACAAGATTTTTCTGGGGAAAGACAATAGATGCACCATTCAACAGGACATTCTTGATTCAGAAAAACAAACAATGGAATTGTGTCTTGACAAAGCAATGTGTAGACCTAGAACATATAGCTAGCTACAGTGCCCAGATAAATATTTGTGTTTAGGGTTATAATAATGAGTTAATTGCAGGGTAAAGTCAGAAATAGCAGTGGACCCAGTGGAATGATGTCAACAGTCAACTAATTTCTTCTGTCTGAATTACCTTTGACGTTAGAAGATAGCGTGAACCTCTGGGTGGAGATACCCAGTTCGGAGGGTGTAAACTGGGAGAAATCCAAGCGTGATGTGATGTTGCTCATAGGAGAAAGACACGAGGCCTCCAGTAGAGTCAACTTTTCAGTTCCCTCAACGTTGTCCATTTTCAGCCCTGAACTTAACGTTAGCTACCTTCAACTGAAATTATTGGAAGCACCTTAAGAGGGATCTGTCATCTGAACCAAGATATCACTCAACTGTTGTCAATAACAGTTGATAAAATTGTGTCGATAATGCAAAAAGCAAGTAGGGTGACAGACCAAGCAACGACTGATGTTCACACAAAAGTTAAAACAAGTGCTTGCGAGCAGAGTTTATGTGACAGGCGTTTGTAGCTTGAAAGTTATTGAAGCTATGCATCCAACAAGCACATATTAAAACGTAGTTAACAAAGCCATTTAACACCTTTATAAACCAACTTTGACGTTAGCGAAATACAAGTTCACATTTACGTTACAAACTGGCAAACTAACAAAGCTAACGTTAGCTCAGAGTTTCTTGGCCAGCTAGCTAGCTAACGTTAACAATACATTCACTGAATCGACAAACATATTACCTTCTATTACGAATGTTTTTTTAAAATGTTATAATATCCACCCTTATGAATCCAACTAGCCCTAGCGAAATAGATCAGCGACCATAATAACAAGCTAGGTAAATGCACACCACTCACAGTAGCCGTGGCACGAATATCCTTCCGCGACTCAAATAAATGCTAAAACCTTGTTGAACGTAAACATGTCCTACAAAATCATTACATGTACGTTTAACAAACTCAAAAACAAACTAAAAAACGTTTGCATTCAAACATATCAAAATACTGAGATAAAGCGATAGTTATTGACATTTGGGGACTATTTCTTATGTCTACAAGAAGGATGTAATTTCATAGGAACTGGCCAATGAATGTGAAAACATATGTCACGTGTCTCTACAATATCCAATGAATCACATTTGATTTAACGCTCCAAAATTAGTCCCTAAGCGCTCTAAAGAAGTATGAACAGCTGAAGTTTTCCAATTTCTTCCCCAAAACAAATCAAAGCTAAAGAAACGTCACGATTGTTCAGAAATACAGTGGTATTTTCATGCACCCTTCTTTGTATTACAACTTAGTCTCACATAGCCTATATAATAACTCTAAAATGTCAAGAAATTGTTATGAAAACTCTGGATTGGTTAGATGAATTGGTCCCTCTCCTGATAGGCCCTACTCTGACTCGTCTGCTGCTACTCATACAGAGTTGTACTGTTTATTTCTCCTCAGTCTGTTCACAGTTGACTTGATAATTGCCTCCTCTAATCTGTCAGCCAGACAAACATCTTTATGCATTTACCTTCTCCAAACAGGGAAGGGAGAGTTTGTGTGCCTATCTCTGTAGTATTTGTCTGTGAGTACAAGACCAAGGAAGTGCAGGATTGTTGGAAGAAAGACTACAGAAAGTCTGATGTACTGTTTTCTTCCTTCCGCTCATTATCTCTCCCTCCGACCCTCCCTCTACAGCATATCTGTTAGATTAATTTGTATTTTAAGAATAATGACTAAAGGATTTCACCCCAAATACAGTATAAATGTGTGAACTGTGTTAGAATTATAATGTATTGTCAACCTACTAACAGAGGGGGGGCGGGACTAAACATTCCAGGGTGAAGGGGACTGAGGAAACAGGTTACAGGTAGCTTAGTGGGTAAGAGCGTTGTGCCAGTAAGCGAAAGGTCGCTGGTTCTAATCCCCGAGCCGACTAGGTGAAAAATCTGTCGATGTGCCCTTAAGCAAGGCACTTAACCCTAATTGCTCCTGTAAGTCGCTCTGGATAAGAGCGTCTGCTAAATGACTAAAATGTAAATGTAAAATGTTACAGGGGGCCTCCTAGAGGTGGGCGGAGCAGGGTGCCTTTGTGTGTCGAGGTATAAAACAGGAGTGAATGTGTTTTGGGCGCCAGAGCTCTCCATGAACAAAGATACAGATAATCCTTGTGGGTTGTGGACCTTGAATCATTTATGATTAAAACCAGAGCCTTACAACCTCTGGTAATGATTCAAGCTTAGGTTGAATTAGAGATAGAAATTCTCGTAACAGTGTGGTCCTTCGAGCCGGATCTTAAATACGTCTTTGTCGTTCTAGAAACACCGAAACCGTGCACGGGCGGATGATTGCATCCGTGGAGAATAGTCCTGGCCTTCGACGTTAAGGTTATAAACAGGCCGGTGATTACTCTTATGAACGATAAAGACGTTAACGAGTTTGAAAAAGCATTTAAATCCAAACTGCAAGGAAAAGGTCAGTAATTTTTATTCATGGATTTTGGTGAAATGATTTGAACTTCTATAAGAATAGTGATTCTTGTGGAGGGCAGAGAATAGTTACCAAAATTGCGAAGGAGAATAATTCTGGGAATTATTACTAAACAAGGAGGGTCCGTAATTGACCCTAGTTAAATAGCTATTACCAAAATAATCTAGTCCGAAATGACACGGGGTGAAAGGCCATCACCAATGTAAACTAGTTTTTATTGAGACTGTACTGGGTACAGTGCTACGATAAACAGGGAAAGGGATGATTTTTGTCGTGTGCTATGGATACATAAAACAGGTCAAAAGTCACGTAAACAACTGGGGATTTGCTAGAACTCTGTCTGTTTCATGAAACTGGAGCAGTTACGACCTCTAGGTTACAAATAGGTTTGGCAAATGATTGTATAATGTTGTGTACGTGTGAGACTTGAATCCATCGGAATACGTGATAATTGTTTCAAGGAAGGAGCTAAAAATAGGTTGCGTGAGAAAAAATGGTTATCTGACTCTTTTCATGAAACCGGAGTTTTAAATAAAAAACTCTGGGTTACGGGTGGATAATTTTAAATGGTTAATTACAAAAGCAGATCATAACATTGGCTCGAGAGACACACTAAAATAATAGCTCCTAGGAGAATAATTCTGGGAATTATTAATAAAGGGGGGGATTTTTTATTTTTCCACCATGGGAAATAAATCGTCTAAAGAGGTCCGAGAATTAACGGGGGATGAAAGATATATGTTAGGAAGAGATCGAAGAAATATGTTTTATGGATCCATTTGGGAGAAGAGGTATGAATTTATTGGGCATCTCGAAGTAAAAAAGTTAGAAGTTATATGATTAGGCAGATGCATGTAAACTGTGGAACGGATTTGAAAAAACTGCGAAAGGAGGGGCTAGAGACAGCGAGGGTTTTTTTAAGCGCGAAGGAGCGAGGAAGTGCTTTAACTGAAACAAAGGAATATTTGGCAAAAGTGTATGGCCCCGTGTAAATACTGTAACAGAACAAGTCATAACCATCGTGACTGCAGGGGTAAAGGAAAGGGCAGTGTCGGAGATAGGACAGTCAATTTTTTGGTTCAACTGGTATATGTTTGAAAAAATGATTCGTGTCGATTAAGAATTGGATAAAAACACCACGAAGCGATTATTTGAGAGGTACCTATAAAATTCCAACGATGCATATGTATGAACTTTCTCACTCAAACGTAGACATACGTCATGAGTGAGAAAGTAGAGAATATTTACATTTGCATTTTTGGTCATTTGGCAGACGCTCTGGTCCGGAGCGACTTGCAGGAGAGGTGGGGGTTGGGTGACTTGCTTGGGGGCACATCGGCGGATTTTTCGCCTGGTCGGCTCGGGAGTTGGAGCCGGCGACATCGGTTACTGAGACGGTGCTGTTGGTTACTGGGCTACCAGCCGGCGGGGATGAGTTTAAGGTTGGGCCGTTGTTTGATTAGGTGATAAGGTTTAATGGGTAATCGGACCATAACTAAAGTGGTTATAGAAGTAATGTATAAATAGTAGAGAGCCAATAGATGGTTCCATTGAACTATTATGTTGTGTTGAGCATTTGAATGGTATAAGGTGAAATATGTGTGTATGAGGGAATTCAACGGCGGGTATGAATGATAACCGGATACTACTTAGTATTTGGTTGGTTAAATGCTGAATAAAATATTTGAGGCGTGGTTATGGGGCAACTAGGAAGACGCACTTATTCGGTGGGGAATTGGTGTAGGGAGAGAGAGTTTTTACGTGTATTAAAAGTTGCATTAGATAGCTTTAGTAATATTCTAGATAGGTCTATGAAAATATGTTACAAGTACGAATGACATTATTTCCTAAGAAGGAAGATTGTAGGGAAGTTTCCCGCGCCTCCCCCATAATGTAGGAAGGAGCAGGAGAAGGGGGGGGGAGAGGTGAGAGACAGTACATAGTTCAGATGGTAGGAATGTCATTAAGTGTATGCTGATCAACGATATCAAGTATTTGTTTTATTGATTGGGGCCGAATCAGAGAGAACGGTTAAAGAGATTGAATAGCGAACTGAAATGGGTTAGCGGGAAAATACAAATAGTTGGACAATTTTAGAACGATAATTTATTTTCGTTATGGGGAAGCAAGTGGCATTGGCTGTTGTGCTGGGGGAATAGCGCCAGCCTGTGGTGGGTTCTGGATTTGTTATAAAGAAATGTATATTTTAAACTAAAGTGATGGAATAGACTACAATTATAACATCAGAAAAAGGGCACAATATAATTCGTAATAGTTATTATAATTATTATTGATAGTTATTGCAGTTATTATCATTGATTCAGTAATGATAGAAGGGTAGAGAGGAAATAGGCAGGTTAAGGGTAGAGTTAGATAGAGAGAAAGAGGCAGGAAGAGCTAGAGAAAGTAAACACAGAGAGTTTAAACACAGGGAGTTGAAGAGATTAGAATACTATAATAAGCCAGGGAAGAGAGAGTGGTTAGATGATGAGGAAGGGGATGACCAGTACCCTTTGATAGCCTTGCCGAACCCAAGGGCTGGGGAGGAGCATGCACCAGACACACTGGATGTATATAGGGCGTGGACACAGCGAGATGTAGTAAGAGCTATAGAGGGTGTAGTGCACCCTAAGAGAGGAGAGGGGTCAGAGGAACCCATTGATACGGGGTGTGAAGTGTTTGAATTGGAAACAATTGAATTGGCTCTGCAGCAAGAACAGAAACCATACCTCACCTTAACAATATTGGGGAAAAATATTAAATTATTGTGTGACACAGGGGCATGTCGAACAGCAATCTGTGTAGCCGACATACCCAAAACAATTAGAATTAATGGGGAAAAAATCATGGTACGCTCGGCCTCGGGCCATCAATTTATAGAGCGATTATCAGCCCCTGTGACTTTACAACATGAAGATTCAGGGGGAGAGGTATGCATACCTGTACTGGTATCAAGCCTGTGTCCAGTCAATTTACTAGGAAGGGATGCCATGACTCAGGTGAACGTAGCTGTGAAGCCTACGCTGAGGGGTATGAAGGCATATGTTGTAAGGGATAATATGGTATTGAGCGGGGAGGGAAAACCATGCTATTGGTATAGCCAGGATCTGCTAAGAGGGGGACTTACAGACATACCGAAAGCACTAATAGACCTAGGAAATGAGTTAGTGATTGGATCAACTAAGATGACAGTAGATGACTTACACTGTACATTATGGTGTAATGAGCACCCAGGCCCTAACCCAGATTATGAGGAAGAATTGGTAAAAACCACAGAAAAAACAATTGGGTTAAAATGGGTTCACTATGATAAAAAATGTGCAGCTGTAGAGGTGGAGTTGGGACCACAGAGCCAGAGGCTGTACAGAGAAAGGTGGAGCCCCCATGTTGCCCTAGTG